AAGAATGTATAAAACTTTCAGCTCGTTTTACAGTTTAAATTTATCACAAATCCTATTGGTATTTATAAAGTATACATACAAACTTTTCAAGAGGGCTTATGTGCTTCTTGGAGCCCTGCCACCATGTGAACAAACTCAGGCCAGGCAGCTAGAAGATGAAAGACAAAGTGGTGGGGTGTCTAATGGCCTCCTGACCAAGGCCATTCTAGACCAGCTCCTATAGCTGGTTTACTTCCAAACATGTAAGAAAGCAAAGCCAAGATCTACAGAGCCACCGCCTACCTGGCCCAAAGCTAACCATGGATGCATCTGTGTGTCCAGTTTAGACCAAAGGAACTATTCAGTTGACTTATAGACCCATGAGCAGTAACAAATGCATATTATTTTAAACCAATGGGTTTTGGGTGGCTTGTTGCCTTAGCAATAGACAGTGGATACAGCTATAGCTGTTTTCTTACTATCTTTATGTAGGTGCTGGGATTGATTGTAAAGAAAAGACAAAGGAAGTGATAAGAATATAAAAGGAAGTTAAACTGGAAGTTTTAATTGAGGTAATAAGATAGCTCTCAGCTACGAAACAGGCTGTTATATATACCAACAAGTAAATAGTTCAAAGTAGGGGTCCTAGAAATGGCTCAGATATCACCAGATTGAGGGCATAAAAGGGTACTGAATACAGATGGAGAAATATTTTGGTGAGAAGTATTTTCCTAGAGCATGTTCTCCCAGGGAGAACATGTATAGTGTGAGGGATTTGAATGGAACCATTTGGAGGCCTGACACATTGAAGACATGGCAGATTTGTGTCCACTTCAGTCTTACCCAGTAAAATCCAGAGTACAAGAAGTGAGTTGGTGAGTGCTGTGGTGCTGTAGCCTGGAAACTTACTGTATTTTGTGATTGGCATATACTCTTAATTTTTGTTAAGAAAACACATGCGTGATTGTTTCCTCCCATGGACTTGATGTAGGTTTTGCATGTAGAATAGTCAGTGTAGGGGTCATATTAGATCCATTCAAAAAGGGCTCCCTAGAGGGCAACTGCACCTCAATAGACAGAAGCTGGAAGCAGATACTAGATTCATGGGTTAGCAGAAAGAGTAAGCAACTACTCAAATAGACTATATTTGCCTTGGTCAGTGGTTCTCAGCCATGGGGAATTTCACTCCTCAGAAGACATATGGCTATAATTGGAGACATTTTTGGTTGTTATAACTGATGGAGGTGCTAATAGCATCTAGTAAGTATAGGGCAAAGATGCTGCTAAACATTTCCCAGTGCATTGGACAACTCTCCACAACAAAGAATTATCCATCCCCAAATGTTGATAGCCGCAAGGTGGAGATCACTGGCTTAAGTAAAGGTGATCTTGGAGGTTACCAAGGAATGCACAAAAAATCCCATGAGAGAATCAGCTTCAAACACCTGCCAGGCTCAGAGAGCACAGAGCCATCCTAGGTGCATGCCAATCATAGAGGGATATTCCTAACCTATTTACCTCTTCTAGCTGCCCTGCTCCTGCCCTTCATTTTCCAACCCCTTAGCACCATGGTGGTAGAACAAAAAACAAAAACGCAACTACTGTATCAAGAAGGGAAGTTGGTGTGGTGGTGCATGCCTATAACCCCAGCTACTTGGGTGACTGAGGCAGGATGATCGCTTGAGTCCAGGAGTCTGAGACCAGTCCGGGCAATATAGCAAGACCCCATTTCAAACAGAAGGAAAAAACACCAGGATTTAGCTGCCTGAATGGCCTTGAGGCAATCTTTTGTGATGCTTTTGGGCATTGGGGAAAAGGGATAAAAACAAAAAAGCAAGAGACGGAAGATGAAAATGTAGTGTATAGAAGGGGATAAGGAAGACAACACCTTTTTCCATGAAAAGTGACTAATTTGCAACAGGAGCCAGCTGAAGAAGGAGAAATGTATTATGAAATTGGTTTTGGAATTTGAAATATTCTGTAGGACTAAACATTAGAATTATTGAGTTGAGACTGTGTTTATGACTTAATGTAACCCTAGGTCTCCCTACAGTGAACAGAAATGTTTTGGAATTTACTTGAAATTTTATCTGGAACCTTCTAAAGGGATCTTGAGATGAAATAATGTTGCTGATTGCACCCTCTGGGTCCTGCTTGCTTTGTATACTCATTACCTTAACAGTTGCTGAATAGCCACTGTGAAAGCTGGAAGCTGTCGTATCTATTACCTCACTATCATCAGAATTGAGGAGGGCATATACTCTTCTCTTAGTGTTTCAAGAGGCACCATTATTCTTGGTTTACAGAGAGAAAATCAAGGCTTAGAGATGTGAAGTGACTTGACCAGATGGTGCTTCAGGGAAGGGCTGGATAGTGGTGCTGCTGGTGGGGAAGGACGGGGGTGGCTTCAGTGATATCCGTTTTGTTAAAGCACATTCATTTTCAGAATCCTGGAATCCTACGGATAGGCATTTAATAATGAATTACACTCTTGTGTCAGTGTGATCAGCTAAGAGAGAGATGCAGTAAGAGTTTTTAATGTGCTGCACATCAGCTGGCTCCAAGAAACTTATTTAGAGCCAATATTTTCAAGATATGGGCAAGTGGAGAGAGGAATCCAGAACCACGTCCTGTTCCTTAATGACCCAAATTAATCTCTCTGCAGCCAGCTGAGTTAGTCAGACAGGTGTGTGTCCTCTCTCCCTCTGGGCTGACTAAAGGCTTCTTCATGGCACTTTACATAAACCTATGTTATAGTCTCTGTCACATGGTCTTACAATTATTTTTCAATTTTCTTTTGGCCAAGTAGATAAACTCCCTAGACTGAGGCTTTTTTTTTTTTTTTACTTTATTCGTTTTTTTATCTGGCTGCACCTAATCCACAGTAGATATTAAATAAGCACAGAATAATTTATTGAGCTAAAATCCCTGTCTGTGTCTGGACTCAGTGGCTCATGCCTGTAAATCCCTACACTTTGGGAGGCAGAGGCAGATCACCTGAGGACAGAAGTTTGAGACCAGCCAATATGGGGAAACCTCATCTCTACTAAAAATACAAAAATTAGCCAGACATGGTGGCTCACACCTGTAATCCCAGCTACTCGGGAAGCTGAGGCAGAAGAATCACTTGAACTCAGGAGGTGGAAGTTGCAGTAAGCCAAGATCACACCACTGCACTCCAGCCTGGGCAACAGAGTGATTCCATCTCAAAAAAAAATAAAACATAATAAAATTCCTGTCTTCAAGGACCTTACACTGTACATGAAGAAGCATGTAAAAAGAAAGTTATAAAATAGCATAAATAGCATAATTTCTGTTTAGAGATACATATATGTTAGTATAGAGACCAAAAATATTATCTGAAAGATTCTGCACCAAATGGTTAACAGTGATCACCTTTATGAGGTCAAATTACAGAAACTTTCTCTCTCTGCAGAACACATTTCTAGAAGGGTTTATAATAGGCAGAAATATTATAGTTATTTAATATTTAGTCAAAAAATATAAGATATACATAAGGGAAATGAAACACTGTATATAGTACAAAGTTGCATGTGACTAGTTTTATTTTTTTTGTTTTTAATGTTGATTTTATTTTTATTTATTTTTTTTTTTTATTATAAGTTCTGGGGTACATGTGCAGATCGTGCAGGTTTGTTACATAGGTATACACGTGCCATTGCCTTGTCATCAACATTAGGCATTTCTCCCAATGCTATCCCTCCCCGATCCCCTCACCCTCTGCTATTCCTCCCCTAGCCCCCCACCCCACAGGCCCCAGTGTGTGATGTTCCCCTCCCTGTGCCTATGTGTTCTCATTGTTCAATACCCACTTATGAGTGAGAACATGCAGTGTTTGGTTTTCTGTTCTTATGTCAGTTTGCTGAGAATGATGGTTTCCAGTTTCATCCATGTCCCTGCAAAGGACACGAATTCATCCTTTTTTATGGTTGCATAGTATTCCATGGTGTATATGTACCACATTTTCTTTATCCAGTCTATCATTGATGGTCATTTGGGTTGCTTCTGAGTCTTTGCTATTGTGAACAGTCATTAGAGTAATGCAAATCAAAACTACATTGACTAGTTTTAAAATGTCAGCATGCAGCAAGCATGCTGGAATTCAGGTGGAGCTCCAGATGATGGAATTCCAGACAATGGACCTCCAGATGACAGAACTCCAGAAGATGGAGCTCCAGATGGAACTCCAGACAATGAACTCAGGTGATCAGGGAAGTCTCCAGAAGGAGGGATTTGAAACTTACACATTATTCAGAGCTTTGAAATAGATTTCCAAAAAGCATCTAAGTCCTGGTCCTTCCATGTGATCTCAGGATCTTGTTATTGCTTTTAGAAAGGCCAGCGCCATCTGTTTTTGGAAGCTGGCACCCACACCCGGCTGCTAATTTGGAATCCTAAACCACTTTAAAAATTAATGGCTTTATAAAAGGTCTGCAACTGCCTCCTAAGAGTTTAATATCATATTTATAAACTCAGTCTGTATTGAGTTCCAGCATATTGCAAATAATTTACAGTGTTGTCCTGCACAGAGCATAACTAATGTAGATCCACAGCTGTGCAGATAACTTTTCCTATCAACAGATGATAAACTATAAGTGGCCCCATTTGGATGTGGGGAAATAGTCCAGGTTTTTAAAGCTGCATTGGTGCCACTGGGAGGGAATTTCTATAGCAATGGCTTCCCTTACCTGGAAACCATCTCAATAATAATAAATACAGCCAGCTTTTCTTCTGCTAGTTATTATACCTAGGAAGAGTGGGCCAATCATGAAGTATTAACACATCACCCACTGGTTGGCTTGCATGAACTCTTTCTTGAGCACCTGATAATTAGTTTGGGAAGTAGATCAGCCAGCTAAGGGGTCCTGAAGTCAAAAGGCAAGATCTGGAATGGCAGAAGGGGTGAGGTAAAGTTTGGGTCTGGGTCATGTGCTACATAAGGATAAAATACATATATTTGTGCCTTAACATCTCTTTAGTAATTTCTTGGTGCATTTCAGGATCCTAGAAACCAAGTCTGCTTTTTGCCAACAAACCAGGTGTGAAGTCCTTGCCTCTAAGGTCCTGGTTCCTGTGCAATATTCAGGCTACCTGCATATCAATAGTCCTAGTTATAATGATTCCATGGACAGCTTTTGGGATAAAGTACCAACAGTACACGCATTGCCACTTCTACCATATTTTATTGGCTAAAACAAAGTAAAAGCCAAGCCAGAATTCAAGGAGCAGTAAAACAGATTCTGTGTCTTGATGGGAAGAACCCCCACATCACATTGCCAAGAGTGTAGACACAGAAAGATGTGAAGCATTGGGCCCAATTTGCGATCAATCTACCACACTGGGTGTGATGGAGAATTCTAGCTGTTCATCAAAATCCACTCTCCTTCTTCCATAGCAAAAGAACTGCAGCCATCCATGTAGATTACATTGCACAGTGTCTTTTGCAACTCAGTGTGACCTAGGTGACTATGTTCTCATCGTGGACTAACTTTTCACTAACGGAATGTGAGCAGAAGCGACAGCTGCCACTTAAGATATCTGAGAATATCTCCTGGGAGGCTATATTCCATCCTTTTGTCAGCTGGAATCTTGATGTAGCAACAAACCTAGCATCATTTTACTTATGCAGCTGATGACTATGTCCCTGGAGATGGCAGATTAACAACTTACAAGAAACTTGGGTTCCCAAACGACCAAGAGAAGCAGAGCTTTGTTCCTGACCTGAATTGCTCACATCAGAAGTAATATGCAAAAGAGAAATATATTTTTGTTCTTTAAACTGCTGGGTCACAGCCTACCCTCCCCTAACAAATACAACAGGACAACGGAAGGCACAGTCTCCACTCATTTAGAAAACAAGGTCAATGAATACTTCACTCTGATATTTTGTGGAAAGAATCCAAAGTCAGTCCTAATCCCTCGCTCCTCAGCCCCTCCATGGCTCACAGCCTCAGAGGGAAAAATAAAGCAATGATCTGAGTACTTACTTGTTAAGAGGATTTGGGTTAGGAATGTGGGGAGGAGAAATCTCACTCCCTGTAAACACTTTGTAAATATACTCATTCTTACTAGCATTTTTTCATCTAATGAACCCACATGACACATTTTAACCTTTGCCTGAGGTACTTCTGATCATAATTGTAAGGGCTTCCTATCAGTGGAGCATTGAAATTCTGACATTACTGCTCCTTGAAAGAGGACGGGCCACCCCTATCTTTCCCTCCCAGCTGGTATCTCTGAAAATATTAAGGAATGGTGGAAATTGAGTTGAAGAGTGATCAGAGCTTTCAAATTAAGGGGTACATCATTATTGAACCTTAGAGGAGCCTGCAACTAAAAAGAAGGACCACATGGCTCCTCTACTTTACAGTCTTCAAAGAATTTCTTGTCTCTTTTAAAATTAAATCTAAAACCTTTGCCAAGAGCTATTAATACAAGTCCCTGAATGATCTGGCCATTTGTGCCTGCACAGCCTCATCTCATCCACACATCCCCTGGTTGCTGCTTTTCTCTGCTTCCGCTGGCATACTCCCTGTTTCTCTGTTGCATTTAGTTTCCTCTGCACACCTCTCTGCCTGGACAGTTTTCTCCAAATTCTCTGCCTAAGTCCTATCTTTGTTTCTCATCAAAGCTACAATGTCAGTTCCTCTGGGAAGTTTTTCCTGACCCCTCAGACCAGGATAGAGCCCTCTGTCTACTTTCTGATAGGACCTTTCCTACCACTGCAACAATTATACTTACATAAGTATTTCTTCTTTTATTTAGGTGACGTCTCACTCTTGTCCCCCAGGCTGGAGTGCAATGGTGCCATCTCAGCTCACTGCAACTTCCACCTCGGGTTCAAGCAATTCTCCCTCAGTCTCTGGAGTAGCTGAGATTACAGGGACGAGCCACCGTGCCCAGCTAATTTTTGCATTATTAGTAGAGACGGGGTTTCACCATTTTGGCCAGGCTGGTCTCAAACTCCCGACCTCAGGTGATCCGCCCGCCTCGGCCTCCCAAAGTGCTGGGATTACAGGCGTAAGCCACCATGCCTGGTCTTAAATAAGTATTTCTTTCATGTTGAACACTAGACCCACGATCCCCTGAGGACAGAAACCATGTCTCCTTTCCTTATTGCTACATGCCAGCAGCTGACATAGTACAGCAGGCAGCCCTAGAAAAATACTGAATGAATAAACATATAGATAAACTAATGAAGGGGAAGCATCAGGGAGAGAAAGAAAAAGAGACAAACAGACACAGGAAAAGGAGAGGCAGAGTCAATTTGCTACCTGATAGAATGGTTCACATGCCAATAAGACCCTGGAGGACACACCCTCCACCCCCGATCCCAGGAGAGCTGTGCAACATAACTGCTCCATGTCCCACTAGTTACTTCAGAGGTTAGCCAACTCGCTTCATTCTCTTTGGAGAGATGCACCCCTGAGGAATTGGAATACACCTTGCTGCACATTCCCTTGTAATAGCAAACGTGGTGAATTGAAATCAGCAGCCTGGGCTTAGGGACAAATTGCATTTGGAAATTGTATTTAAGTATCAAAAAACTAATTACCATCAAGTTTCACTTCAGCAGTACTTGATGATTTCATTATTGGACCTAATTGTACTTCTATTCAGGATAAGAGTTTACTGTCTTTTAATTGGTCGTGGAAATTGAAGATACGAAAATGTGAATGTATACAAGACCTCTTTCTTTTTTTTTTTTTTTTTTTT